TATCAAACGAATAATGCAGCGACATGCAACCGCGACGATGCTTTGATAAATGCATGGATAATTAATTCTTGCGATAAGGAGCAATTTATTTTAAAAAATAAATTAGGATTAATAAGAGGCAACATCCATACCGAAAACTATGTAACCTAAACGGAAACGATAAGCAAAGAAAACAACCGCCTTGCTCTCCGGGCAACATCTGCCAAGTTTCAATGCCAAATTGCCAATATAATCCCATTTTGCTAAGCCGACATTCTTCATTTATCAACAAAAGCTAGCCAAATTTTATCTCTGTTCACTCTGGTTTCAACGGTCTTCGAGACAACATAAATGGAAAATTTTCCGTACACGAAAACGCCCGTGGTACATTTTTCTCGGATAAATCGAAGCTTCCAAGTCCCGACGTTCAGAACCTGGAAAAAGGCTGTTTTCCATCCACATCTGATCCGCCTTAAACCGGTGAGTGCGTTTCATATTGTCATTATACCAATGTTCGTTCATGATAGAACGCTTTTGGAGCCATACTATACGCGCGCAATTCGAGTACATCCCATGAACTGTTCGACTTTTCGTTACCCGCATTTAGTTTACCAACATACTTGCAATATTGCGCGACTTTGCTCTCACGAGGCATATATTAATATGAAAACGCAGGTTTAAGCCCATGCAGGGTCAACATGTGTTAGTTGGGGTTAGGACGATAATTTTATATATACAATATAATCCCATATATGTTTGTCCTTTACAAGTCTAATGTCCACTTCATGAACAAAATACCCTGCTTTCATGATGAAACATTTGGCCACAGGCATAAACAGAGTCGTCCTACGTATACTACACGCTATAGTCTGAAATTATTGCCACATGCATGCTTCTGCGTTCATCGACCACAATTTTATAGTATAGCTACAGTGCATGTATGCTCATATTATGTTATTACCCGCGTACGTAACATATTTTGCTTGAAAGCAGCTACATTTGCGCCCATTCCTCGATATGGCCAGTCAAATTGCCAGTCTCGCAGAATACTCTCATCTTATAATCTAACTCCTTGTGGTGAGGTATATTCATGTTTTGTTTTGTTTTCCCCGTGAACCACATTTGTAAGATTGTACTGATACCATTAGTACCATTTGCCTGATACCGAAGAGGTAAATAGACTTCATTACTCTGTAACTCAATTTAAGATACCCTAAAACTGTAGCGCTAGCCAGCTATACTTGTAAGCCAATCTGAAGCATGCATAGCAAACAATATGACGCTATACATAAATCTCTAGGTTATAATATATATACATGTACTGTACCAACTACTGTGAGTAGTGTATGTCACCTAATCATATATCTCAATCAGGAATAAATTTCCAAACAACCAGTCAACCACATAACTTCAGCCACGACACCATACTCCATAGATATCTTATATACACTAGATATCTATGCACGATACGCGCGTATGGATCGTTATCCAAGATATACAGAACACCATGCACACGCAATATACATACATTATGCCCCTACTAAACAATATCTCGCTATATGGTCTGCTCTCCAAACCCGGTGACCATTAACCAAATACTGCCTACAAAAGATTGCACAACGCAAAATCCCAAACTCCTGTATATATAGACTATATAAGGTATAACATTACAAACTGGCAGAGGAAATACTGCTAGTGAAAGAATTTAAAGATCGTCGGTTTCTCACTCGTTCAGGAATGCTCAGTACAGATTTTAATTAACCCCACTGTAGAGGAAGCATTTCTGCGGCTATCTTTAAAACGGGGAATGGGGGAAGGGAACGGGGAAGGGAACGGGGAAGGGAACGGGGAAGGGAATGAGCGGGGAATGGCCGGGGAATGGCCGGGGAATGGCCGGGGAATGGCCGGGGAATGGCCGAAATCGGGAAAAAACCTAACATTTTGAAGATTTTTTATTAAATATTTTCATGAATTGTTTTCGTTGCGTTATGGCAAATGTAGCATTGAAGTAAATCGAAATTACAGTAATAGGATTAGGCGACCGAAGCTATGTTGTTTGTGTAAATGACGTAGTTCCTTTTGGGACAGGCCAAGGCTCCCACGCAATTGTATCATATAAGATTGTGCTTTATTTAATAAATGACTCGCCACTCTGGCTTTGACTCCGCGCACTTGTTTTGCATTGACATTGTGCTCGGCACGTTACAAATATTAAACCATAGCCGATAGTAGACCCTACCTGACCGCAATATGTAGATGTTTATACGATCTTATCATTCTCATGTTGATTTATTGTTTGGCTTGAATAAAACAGTATTTGTCAGTGTTAACTATACAAGTAATCAGCCGATCTGCACATTATAAGCCAATAAAAGTAATGGTATAACGCAAGACAACCATTAGCATCATAGGCGTACGGGAAGCAAAAATTGGGGCAGAAAGAAATTCGCCCGACTTTTTCGGATTGTGCCCGACTAGTGCCGAAAATTTTTTTTTCCCGTAAAATAGTTTTTGGCGACCTCCCCCCCCCCTTTAGGGGTCAAAAAAATTTTCCGTACATACAAAATTTTTCGGAACTTAAAACAAACTTTCCCAAAAATTTAAAAATTAACATATTTCCCAAAAATTTTACATAATTTTTCCCATTTATTTTTATAATAACCAAATACTGCCCGACTGTGAAGCAAAAATTGCCCAACTGGCTTTGTTAGCCCAACAAACTGGGGTTATTATTAAGAGAGATTTTCTTGTTTTGACTACTTTTTCCCCGACTTTTGCCCGACTTTTGCTGAACATTTGCCCGACTTTTCGACTTTCTAATCTTGTTGGGGGGGGGGGAGCTTCCCCCCCTGCCCGCCCCGTACGCCTATGATTAGCATATTGGTCATACTGGAATTGAAATTTACGCATATTTATACTCCTAACCCACAGCCCCAGCTCTATACACTGCAAATAAATTATTGGATACAATCATACAAATATTTTATTGATACGTTCTTGATATACAACGTGAGGATCGGGTAACAGTATTAATTCCAATGTCACTGTGCGGCGTATAGCTATAGGAAGCGCGGCGTTTAAAAACCTGGCGAAAATCTGTCATTAAATGTAATTTGTGTCACACAACATTTTTTTAACCTTCAGGTAAATTCTTGCTGTCCAGTTCTATGCTAAAAATTTAATTTCATTTGTAATGATGACATTTCAATCCAGTATTTTTTCGAAATTTGATCTTACATTCTTACTAAGCTTTACATTGTGCTTAGATAGGAAGCGCACATTGAAAACTATGCCCAAAGTGCCACATACTCAAATGACAAAAGGTGAGATAAAATAGTGTAATACGTCAGCAAACAGCTTTTGGTTGCCGACATTCAAAATGTCTGGAGTACAGGGAAGCTTTAAATTTCCTTCACTAATAAAAAGGCGAAAAATAGATCACTGTTTACCCACATTTAGTTGGGAATCACTAAAACATGTTGAAGAAATTGGCAGTGGTGCTTTCGGGGTATCTTGACTTAACCTCTCTATTGTTACGTGATACGGTTTTGATCAATCGTCGAACAGAGAAATTGAACTTTGACAAAAACTATATAACAAGGTCTATTGTCTTGCGTTGTACTTACAATGTGTGGTCCGGCTGATTACTTGCCATAACGCAACGAAACGAAACGACATTTACACAAACAACATAGCTTCGGTCACCTAATCCTATTACTGTAATTTCGATTTACTTCAATGCTACATTTGCCATAACGCAACGAAAACAATTCATGAAAATATTTAATCAAAAATCTTCAAAATGTTAGGTTTTTTCCCGATTTCGGTCATTCCCCGGCCATTCCCCGGCCATTCCCCGGTCATTCCCCGCTCATTCCCCGCTCATTCCCCGCTCATTCCCCGCTCATTCCCCGCTCATTCCCCGCTCATTCCCCGCTCATTCCCCGCTCATTCCCTTCCCCGTTCCCTTCCCCGTTCCCTTCCCCGTTCCCTTCCCCGTTCCCTTCCCCGTTCCCTTCCCCGTTCCCTTCCCCCATTCCCCGTTCCCCGTTTTAAAGATAGCCCAAATTTGGCCAACGTTTGTTTATCTACAATTCACAACTTTAAATAAGGGACCGGTCAAAAAGTAACTGCGGTGCCAGGGTGGGCCAAAGGATAGGGTCATTAGATATTTCTTATGCAAATGGCGATGGGCCATGAAACAAATATATATAGCCAGTTTGCAATCATACTATATAATTACTATAAATTTTACAAAAACAACATTAAATATAAAAATAATAAAAAATAGGTACGTACGCGTACATGAATCTACGAATAGCAATAAATCGTTGAACACCCAGTAGTCAATCGAAAACTTTAAAAGTGAATGGCCGCCAAGCACAAGACTAGAATATACGATAAAAATAATATATGGATAAACAGATCATTCATATAAATACTTAATAATAAAAATACCTAATGGCCCACTCACATTGATGAAAATGATCAAACTATATTTATCATTTATATGGACCCGAAGTGAGGCGGATTCGGCGGAATATTACTCGAAGTGATGATATTTCCCGAGGGGCTTTGCCCCAAGGGAAATATCATCACTGAGGGAAATATTTCGACGAATCCCCCGAGCGGAGGGTCTACAAATGATCAATGTTATACCGAAAGTTAAAGAACCCACTAAGTTCAGAATAAACTTTAAAACTTGCTGAACAGTGAACATTAACTAAGCGAATACAATTTTTAATTTCTTATGTATCTCTGAGTTTTTGACGTTTTCTCTTTAAAATATTTGAGCATGTATCCTTTGGATCATTGAAGGCAACATGCGTCTTAAAAATCTTTGGTTAAATCAATAAATCTGTACAAAATTACAAACAACAGCTCGCGAACGCCATATTGTTTCAGAGCGTGGTGTCCACGCGTCACGCGCGAGCGTGGAATACTATAATAGGATATTATAGTATCTCACAGTGCATTGCGAAATCATGAATTTGAGTGAAATACCGTAAAAAATCACATTTGCCACGTGGTATATACAAATGCTGTTTTTTGATCGGACAATTTGAATTTGAGGTATAATATTATGGTAAATACCATCACAGATTTGCCGCACACTCCTTGAATTTTGATCTGATCTGAGCTTTGCCCTTCGATTTGTCATCTTGGTGTCTATACCTGACGCCAATACTTACAATTCTTTTGCGCTCATTCAATTGGATGCAATGGCGGAATAGCCAACGAGCTATAACTAACCCTTTGGATTGTCGAAAATATTCCCTCCGTTGAACTGTAGTTCTCGACACAATCACTCTTTTTGGTTTATAGGTTTTATTAAAATATCCACAAATAAAATAATGTATTAAAAGGTAAAATTCTCACAATCACGATATCCCAAATCCCAAATTAGCGCACGGGCTATACAAATCACACTTGTCACTGTTGTTACATTCACTCTGTCTCACACTAAGATTCACTTCACACTAATTCTCTGTACTGCCTCCTCCACAGGCGTCTCTTGGTCTCTTACAGCGCGAACGTGAAAGGAAAGTAGATGAAAAGCAGATGGAAAAGCGGCGAGAGAATAATGTGGCTCGCCAGAAAAAGGCGCCGCGAGAAAAGAAGCGGCGCGAAGGTGAAAAATTAATAATGAAAACGAAATTATATTAAAGAGACGTCTGGGTACGAGGCAGCTCTCTGTACCTGTTACGCCTAGCTTAAGTGTTTGAAACTCTATCCTCTAATCTATCATTATAAGGCTACGTCATGCACTAATTATTAGCTATGAAAAATGTTATAGAATTGGCTTATCTGTTCTGTCAGTCCCGACAGGATACGAGCCAGTGAAGTGAATATAAATGTAGGTTTTAGTACATGTATATACATCAGTTAATTTCCGTGAAATTGGCTAAACAGAATAAATCAGTGTGAAAAACGAAAACTGAAATAATCACAAAATATCCAAGCCGTAAGTCACCAAGAAACCAGTCACTCCTCGCCACACTTTTATCGCAGAAAAATGCTCTTTCAAAGCAATTATTCGAAACAAATAAGAAAAAGCTAAAAGTAAGGTCTACTAGGAAGTTTTACCTGAATAAGTGCATTAATAGAAAGCTTTGAGTGCTTTAAAAAAATCTTTTTTGCGCATGCGTGAAATGACTGGCCTTCAAGTTTGATTTCAAATTTCCGGTTGGAGATCAATCTCGTAACGAGTTTGGTTGGAAATTCATTTCATTGGTACGAGCAGGGATGTGACGCGAAATTCCTGACTTGCGAAATATTGACATTGTAGAACTGCCCATGCGCAGACGATTCGCATGAATTACTTTGGCTCATAAATTTCGCAACTCAACAGACAACATACATAAATTTTCAAACATCAATTCTACAATTGATCAACTGAATTGACGGTATACGACTGATTGTGAACGTTAGCGTTCAGCGATAACAAAACTTGAATCGCAGATATGGAAAAAGTCACTCGAAAAGCGCTCTTAGTGATATAGAATAGACTCTAGTTTCAAAGGTTATGCTATGATCATGTATTGCTAAAGTACCAAAAATCGTTTCGCGTTTGACCTTCTCACTATTCAGTAGTAAGCAGGTCAAGCAGCAACAATGAGTTCGTGAGTTGGCCGTTTAGATTTGGCGATGTCTATATTAGAAACATTTGGTAACATCGCATATGGACTTAAAAATCGTTTCGACCGACCGTATTTAGCAAACGTCGTGTATTTCGCGGTCACGACCACACAATTCGCTTTGAAATTTAATGTACTTGTGCAGGGGC